GTTCCAGGGCCTGTACTGAGCAGCAGTCCGGGGGGGTCTCCTGACACGAGGGAGCAAATGACCGGAGCCCCTTCCGGGCGGGCTGTTCGCCTGCGGGCCTGGCCAGCGCTCTCGGTTGGGTCGCAGGCGAGAGCTGTGGCGGGCGCGCTGGGATGAATCCTGGGTCGCCGACTGTCAAGGTTTCATTGCGAGGTTGGCGATATTTGATGTTTTCCCGTAAAGCCCCTGCTCCTGGAATCAGGAGATTACACGAGACTCTTGGCTTTCACTTACCTTTAAAGGAGCTGTCACCTCTCGTGGTTATGCAGGAAAGCTTGAAAGGGGCAAGTAAACGCACGGTAAGGGCTCGGGAACCAGAAGACGCACAAAAAGATCCCTGTAACGAAATACACACACATGTACAAGTGTATATTTTAAACCTCAAATTTCAAACCAGTCTTGTGATTTTTACGAGACTGACTCACTATTTTGAATGTTTGGAGTTGGCAAAATTGTTGCCTGCAGTAACAATTCAAGAATCTCTAGCAAATGATGCCACCTACTCAGCCATACAGGGATGTCGCCGAAGCTGTGGTGGTGGTGGTGGTAAGTCAATTGTACCAATGTTAGCACAGGTCAGCCCTGCATTTCTCTCTACCCATCTGCACAAAGTACAGTCAAGATTTTTTTAATCCATGATTGCCCTCTAGAAATGTACCTCTCAAGTGGCCCCTGGTTTACATGGGGCACTTTACGTTAAGGGTACTTTCCTTGTGCTGTATGCGACTAAGGCCCCTATTGAACTGCTTGTAATGTGTTTGCATGTGTACATATAAGTGTATAAATAGGTAAGATTTATGCTTATGACCGCCAGTTGCTTTTTTTCTTTTGATGTCATGTCAGAATGAATCTCTATGGCATGTCCTCATCTAAAAATGCAGAAATAAGGCTCAGAGAAGGGCACTGAAATGAGCAGGCACACTTGTGAATGAGGGGGCTTCTGATACGAGGACTACTTTCTTTAGAAAAGACAATAGTAAGAAGACCAATGATAGAAATGAAAGAGACAGAGGCCTACTTAGATGTTCTTATGTATCCTTCTCCCCCACCGTATAAAGGGTGGCACTTGATGGATTAAAAAAAAAAGCAAAGTTAGGACCTAATTCTGCCCTTCATTGCCCAGTCTCTCTCTCTCTCTCTCTCTCTTTCTCTCTCGTGCATGGCATCTTCAGAGCAACCTTCTATTAATACAATTGTAGGTCCATCAGCCATTTCACGGCCTTCTGGGAAGGTGAAAGATGACGACCTTCACACAGTCCTCGCTATTCAGTGAGAAACCATGACTAATGTCATCAAACCAGCCACTGAACTTTGACTGTCAACCTCCCAGTCAAAAGAGCAACAAAATAAACACACAGAAAAAAATGTTCATTCTAAAACAGGGGTTGTATGCAGATAATTTAGTGTAGAAGTTGGCCTTCAAAATCAGCAAAAGGAGTATGATTATTAAATGACATGCTTAACTCACATGCTACAGGCTATTATTGAGGGTAACTGATCAGTAAGACTTAAAATTGGACACTTGTGAATTAAAGAGGGAAAGTATATTAACATCTGAAGTGTTGCATCTCCAAAAATAAAGAAATACAAAATTAGTAGGGCTGGCAAGCAATTAAAAACATTAATCGTGATTAAATACATGATTAAAAAAAATAATCTCGATTAATTGCGCGATTAATCGTACTGTTAATAATATAATACCATTTATTTAAATATTTTGGATGTTTTCTACATCTTCAAATATATTGCTTTCAGTTACAACACAGAACACAAAGTATACAGTGCTCACTTTATATTTATTTTTGATTACAGATATTTGCGCTATAAAAAACAAAAGAAATATTATTTTTCAATTCACCTCATACAAGTACTGTACTACAATCTCTTTATCATTAAAGTTGAACTTATAAATGTAGAATTATGTACAAAAAATAACTGCATTCAAAAATAAAACAATGTAAAACTTTTAGAGCCTACAAGTCGACTCAGTCCTACTTCAGACAATCGCTCAGACAAACAAGTTTGGTTACAATTTGCGGGAGATAATGCTGCCCGCTTCTTGTTTACAATGTCACCTGAAAGTGAGAACAGGTGTTCACATGGCACTGTTGTAGCCGGTGTCGCAATGTGCCAGATGTTGTAAAGATTCATATGTCCCTTCATGCTTCAACCATCATTCCAAAAGACATTCATCCGTGCTAATGAGAGGTTCTGCTCGATAACCATCCAAAGTAGTGCAGAATGACACATGTTCACTTTCATCATCTGAGTCAGATGCCAGGAGCACACAGTTGATTTTCTTTTTTGGTGGTTCGTGTTAATAGTTTCCACTTCAGAACGTTGCTCTTTTAAGACTTCTGAAAGCATGCTCCACACCTCATCTCTCTCATATTTTGGAAGGCACTTCAGATTCTTAAACCTTGGGTCGAGTGCTGTAGCTATCTTTAAAAATCTCACATTGGTATCTTCTTTGCATTTTGTCAAATCTGCAGTGAAAGGGTTCTTAAAATGAACATGTGCTGAGTCATCATCTGAGACTATTATAACATGAAATATATAGCACAATGCAGGTAAAATAGAGCAGGAGACATACTATTCTCCCCGAAGTCATTCAGTCACAAATTTAATTAATGCATTATTTTTTTAACGAGTGTCATCAGCATGGAAGCGTGTCCTCTGGAATGGTGGCCGAAGCATGAAGGGGCATATGAATGTTTAGTATATCTGGCATGTAAATACCTTGCAGTGATGGCTACAGCAGTGACATATGAATGCCTGTTCTCACTTTCAGGTGACATTTTAAATAAGAATCAGGCAACATTATCTCCCGTAAATGTAAACAAACTTGTTTGAATGATTGGCTGAACAAGAAGTAGGACTCAGTGGGACTTGTAGGTTCTAAAGTTTTACATTGTTTTGTTTGAGTGCAGTTATGTAAAAAAAAAAAATCTATATTTGTAAGTTGCACTTTCACGATAAAGAGATTGCATTATGGTATTGTATGAGATGCATTGAAAAATACTTTTTTTTCTCATTTTACAGTGCAAATATTTGTAATAAAAATAATATTAAGTGAGCACTGTACACTTTTGTATTCTGTGTTGTAATTGAAATCAATATATTTGAAAACGTAGAAAAACGTCCAAAAATATTTAATAAATTTCAATTGGTATTTTATTGTTTAACAGTGCGATTAAAACTGTGATTAATCATGATACGTTTTTTATCGCAATTCATTTTTTTTAGTGAATCACATGAATTAACTGTGATTAATCAACAGTCCTAAAAATTACAGTTTACAGAAAGAGTAGGTGAGATACAAGTGCTTTCGAAAAACATAACTTTGAATTGCCTGACATTTTTTCATGTTAAATTTCAACTATGAGAGTGAGAAGGTAGGTGTGATAATATTTTTTTTATTGGATTAACTTCAGTTGGTGGAACGTACAAGCTTTTGAGTTGCACAGAGCCCTTCAGATCTGGGGAAGGAAATCAGTGTGTCTGAGCTAAATAGAAGTTGGGATAGATTGGTAAACTTATGGCAGAACACAAGAGGCCATTTAAAGTGGTCATTTGAGGGTTAGATTGGTATGCATAAGGGATTTGAAGTGGGCAGTTAAGGTTGAGCAGGCGGGGAGATGGGTGTTACAAATTGGTTTTATGGCCCATTACAACAATGTCCATGTTGAATCCATTGTTTTTGATGTCTAGCAGAGTTATGAATTTAAGTTCCCAGGCTCGCCTTTTGAAGATATTGTGCAGATTTCCTTTGTGGACAGATATTGAAAGTGAAAAGTGTTTACCCGTGGGTGGTAGTGTTTTTGTCTTTTATCATTTTTCTATGCAAATTTCATTCGAGAGAGTAGTAATTGTCTGGTTTCTCCCAAGTTGTTGGGGCATTTGATGTGCTTGAGGATGTACACCACATACTGTGATAAGCATGTGTAGTTCCACGAATCTTGAAAGGTGTGTTCGGGGGCGGAGTAATTGATCATCATTGCAGTGGTGATATATCTGTAAGTTTTGCATCTGTTGTTGTGGTAAGTTCTTGTGCCACTTTGAGTTGGTGTATCCTGGTCTGTGAGGAGCTTGCTTCTGATACCCAGCTTGGCGAGGCCTGCGGGGTGTTTGAAGGCCAAGAGTGTGGTTGGGAAAGATTTCTTTCAGGATGTGGTGGCCATTAAATGTGGGTTATAATTATTTGATACCCCAGATGGATTCCAGTGTGGGGTGGTAGCAGTGTGCCATCATTGGGCTTGTTTGTTTTTCTGTATCGAAGCAGGTTTTTTCCAGGGCATTTGGGTGGCTTTTTCCATGGTGCAATCTACTTCTCTGGTAGAGTGTCCTTGTTTGAAGTGTGTTAAGAAGTGTATCCGAGACTTTCTCTTAATCGCATATTCTGTGGTATCTGAGTATCTAGCTGTAGAGAACAGATTTTTCTGGAACTGTGGACGTAATGTGGTGATCCGTGGGTTTTTTGTATAATGTCGTTTGTAGGGTTCAATTGTTGAATCTAATAGTGGTGTATAGCAGAGGTGAAAGTAAGCCGGTACAGGCCAATATGGCGTACCGGTAAGAAAGTGGCTGAAGCATTCAGTACCAATTGGTAAAATAGGCTAGGTTTAACTAAAGTAATAACAAAAAATCTGATTAATCGCATGTTTGCAGCAAACATCCCTCTCTGCAAGCAAACCAACCACCCCTAAGCGTAGTTGGAGGGGGAATCAGAGTTGACCTGGGAGATTAGGAGAGCCAAAAGGCAGCAGGCTGGGGGGGTCTAAGGAGTGCAATACAAGCAGGACCCAGGAGTGTGATTGTGCAGAAAGCCCCTTGCTCCCCACCCGATTTGCTCTTGGGCTGGTTCTCCTGCGGGCTGCCTGCTCTCCAACATGCAGATCCACATGCGAGGGCCCTTGGGGGACGAGGCAGCTTGGGGAGCAAGTGTTGTGTGCACGCTGCAGGATGGAGGGGTGTCTTTGCGCTCGGTGCTCAGGGCACTGCGCTCTGCTTCCAGCCCTTGTGTTCATTCATTATTCAGCCAGCTGCGGGAGGGAAAGCTCACCTGGCTACAATCGGGGAGAACCAGAGCCAGGGACGCTCCTTCCTTCTTCTGTGTCCGGGCTCTTTGGGGGAGTCTCTGCAGCAGTCCCTGTTGCAGGCAGCTGTGGCATGCCAGAAGCAGGGGGCTGGGGGGCAAAGCGTGGGGCTTGGCAGCGCACAAGCTGGGTTTTGCAGCATCTGGCGCCCCAGCTGAAACTTCTCCATCTCGCACCTCTTTCCCACTGGAGGGGCTTGCTGCTGTTTGCTGGTCTGTGACACCCCACAGGCCTCAACAAATGAACAAGCTGAAAGTCATCCACAAAAGGGTATAGCTACATAGCCGTCGTTAAAGCGCTGCCATGGCTTTAACGTCAACTAGGTAGACATACCCTTAAAGCTACTACCAATACTCTAGAATATAACTAGTGGACAGCTACTGTATCAGAGTTATGCAAAGGGATCTATGAAGTAAAGTGTGTAGGAGTGGAGGTGGGATGGGTTGTGATACGACCGTACCGTAAGAAATTTAAGTTACTTTCACCCCTGGTGTACAGGAAGTTGATGCTAGTGTGGGGAGTGATGTGGGAGTGTTGATGCTGATGTGGGAGTGTTCTACAGAGAGTTTGATGGATGGGTGGTAGTGGTTCAAGTTGTGGTGGAAATCTGAGGGAGTTTAGCTCTTCTGTCCAGACATGAAAATATTATCAGTCTATCTCAGGTATATTGTTGGTTTCATGATTAATTTTTCCAGAAATGCTTCCTCAAGGTGGCCCATGCAGAGGTTGACTTATTGGGGAGCCATCCTAGTACCCATTTCTGTTCCCATGGTTTGGACAAAGTGTGTGGTATTAAATGTGAAGTTGTGAGTGAGGATGAAATGGGTGAGTTTGACAATGTGTTTAGGGTGGATATCCAAGTGTTGTAAGTTCTCTTGTAAGTATTTGAGATAGGCAGCAATGCCATTATGATGAGGGATGTTGGCATGTACGGAGGTGACCTCCATGGTGGCAAGGATGATGTTCAGAGGGAGGTTGTTAATGTTGCAGAGTTTCTGGAGGAAATTGATATTGTCTTGAAGGAAGCTTGCCTTTTGTGTGGTGAGTGATTTGAGGTTTCAACCTTAACATTACTTTAATTATCTTGCACTCATAACCTTACGTATCTCTTTTAATTTAAAAAAACAAACCCACAAAATAAAAATTTTCTAGTGGTTATCTGTGACAGTTACTGGCAAGAATACAATATGAAGTCAAAGGATTATTGGGGCATAAACTGATTTCCAGCTCGGGTCAAGAAGTTTCCCTTCAGTACATAGATTAAGCTGGAAAAATTATCCAGAAGACTTATCTGAATAGCTGCCAACACTCCAAATGCATATAGGATTTGGGAGACAGGCTTGGAAGGAATTGGTTAAAAAATCACAAATTATAGATGTAATAGTTTTACCCCTCAGAACTATGACACACAATGGTTTAAACTTCAGAACTCCTCAGTGCATCTGTTCGCTTGGGCTGTGTGCTAAGATCGGGACATGAGACTTAGCTGATGGTTTTATCAGATGCAGAAGGAAAACTGCATCAGAATACAGTTATTTCGACTTGAGAAGGTTATCTTCACAATTATAGAAGCAAGATTTTTATTTATTTATTAATGAAAACTGAACTTCTGTAGAAACTGCCCCCATTCACCATGGAAATTTCCTGATCACCATTGATAAGTGGGAGCATGCATTTGTCAATTTTGGCTTTCTTATGGTAGATTTATACCATTATGAGGGCGTATATTTTCCTTTGCATTAGTTGCCAATCTTCACTGTGGGAGACATGCTATTGAGCTAAGTGTGTTTGGTCTCTGGTACTGCAATTCTTGTGTTCCCCTGGTGATAGAACATCAGGCAACTTGCAGGTATATAAAGTAGATTTTTTTTTGATGGCTTTATTTGTTTCTGAAGCCAGTTCTGTGGCACCTAGACCTTGATAAAACTGATTTCTGCAGAGCCAAAGTCTGGCTAGCTTCTCATAGAAACACTATTAGATTAAAGATCATAATTTAATAACACAAGAAAACTTATTTTATCATCTTAAACTGAAAGAATTTCAAAATTCTCAGTCTCACGATCTATGTTTAGTTATTCTAACATTTCACTCAGGTTGGGCAATGAAGGCATACTAACATTTTCTGGGTTTTATGCACGAGTACAATATTGCAGTATATGGTTGCAAACTTAACAAAAAAATCTTGTGGTGAGCTTCTCAAGAAGTTTCTCAATTTTCAGTACTGTATTTTTCAAAAAGAGAATCTAACTTCCTGTGATGTATTCATTTATTATCTACAAATGTGTAGTCTGTCTGGCGGGAAGCAGGGGGTTATTTGATCCCCTTTACATTATGTTTTCAGCTTGTGGTGAAGTTAATTTATAAACTCTGCTCTTTTCCGTAAATTCTCATGTGCATTAACCAGTTTAATTCTATGAGACCTTGTCTACACTAAAGGGAAAAGTTGATCTAAGCTACGCAATTTGAGTTATATGACTAGCGTAACTCAAATCAACGTAGCTTAGATCTACTTACCATGGGGTCCCGTTGACTCTCCTCAATCAGGTGGAGTACATTAGTGGAGAGCAATCGGCGGTCAATTTAGCGGCTTTTCACTATACCCGCTAAATCAACCACTGATGCATCACAGCGTGATCCTCCGGTAAGTGTAGACAAGCCCTGAGTCTACGTCTGACAGACAGCTTAAAATTATGCAATTTAGCGTGTTAATTGTAAAAACACAACAAGTTGAATGGCTAGTTTATACTCTCACTAGTGACTCCAATGTGAGAGGTGGATTTCTAATGTGCGGGAGGAGACGCTAAAGTGAAAACTTGACAGCTGTGAAGCTGGAATGAAACTGAGTTTTTATTTGTAATGGACAGTAAAAGCAATAAACGACTGAATATTATTCAGAACTTTTAACATTTTTCAAAGCAAGGAAAAGTTAATAAAATCTTTTTATTTTTCAGACTCCGTCAGCTGTACATAAGATAAAACAGCTTCTTAAAGATAAACCTGATCATGTAAGTACAAATGGAAGGCATTCTTGTATGCTATTCTAATATTTTTTAGCTTACCTTATGAAGAGCACTCTTAATTATTATTATACTAGCAGCTGTCCTGTGTAGTACTTGTGATCAGTGTAAAACAATACAGCTTGAAACAATCATTGTGGACACCATTTAGACATGAGATCTTCCTTTATTTTTTAATAAATGCATTTATCCAACAAGCTTTATTTTCATATACAAAAATCAAATGAGGTGGGGGAAAATGACCATAAGGACAATAAGTCAACTGTCATAATCTTTGAGACAGATTAAACTCCAGCATGCATTCCTTAAAGGTTTAACAAAATTTTAAAGTATGTCCATATTGCCACTTTAATGAAACTAGTCTAATCTGTTGATGCTAGTAAGGTAATGATTTTCTAGTATGGCAAGAGATCTCCAACTATTGATGTGAAGGTATTCTTCAAATAATTTATGAAAATTTAGAATTTCTCAACGCGGGTTATTCTGTTGTGAAGTATGTTATGTCCACATAATGTTGCCCCTTCTGGCCTGAGGGTTAGCCAGTATTTGGGGCCTTGCTTGTTTCCATTAGGAGAAGACATTGATGCCAATAGTCAGGTATTTCTTTGGTGTGATCCCGTTTATTTACAAGAATGTACACAAAGTCCTGTTTCTCTGAACACAGTAAAAACAAACAGCAGGTGTTTTCCTTACTCAGAGATCCAAGTCTGCTCCAGCAAGTACTATGCCCAAAAGAAAGTCTGTCTCTTATCTTCTTACCAGGGCCACTCTCACAACTACTTCTCTCACTTTCTGTTTATCACACACACAAGCGTGAAATCTGCAATGGTGACAAAGTGGAGAGGCCATGGTTTATGTACTCAAAAACCCAGAATGCTGCATACTGTTTTTGTTGCAAACTCTTACAGTCTAATGTTCCAGCCACATTGGGTTCTACAGGAACAAAGGACTGGAAAAATCTGGCATGCCATGAGAAGGCAGCAAATCACCAGAGAGCATTCTATAAGTGGAAAGAGCTTGAGATGAGACTAAGGTTAAAGGCCACCAGAGATGATTGCATCAGAGTCTCTTTACTGGCAAAATGTTCTGAAAAGGCTCATTGCCATTGTGAGAATGCTTGCTACCCAAAACCTAGCACTGTGTGGCACTTCAGATCAGCTGTATGTGCCAAACAATGGAAACTTCCTTAAAATTGTGGAGCTGATGGCTGAGTTTGATGCTGTAGTCCAGGAGCATCTAGGAAGAGTCACCTAAGAAGAGTCACCACCCAAGAAATGTACACACACCACTACTTTGGAAAAACAATTCAAAATGAGATCATACGGTTCCTGGCAACAAAAGTCAAACAGAAGATTGTGGCAAATTTGAAGTCAGTAAGATATTACTCTGTTATTCTGGACTGCACACCTGACATCAGCCATACGGAATAAATGACTTTAATGGTGCATTTTGTAACAACAACAGAACCTCGTGAAAATGTCCCCGCAGTGGTAACTGTCAGAGAGCATTTTCTAGAATTTGACATTGCTGATACTATAGGAGCTGGTATGACAAATGTGCTTCTTAAAAAGCTGGAAAATACAGGGATTGCGATAGCTGACCTGAGAGGTCAGGGCTACGATAATGGTGCCAACATAAGAGGAAAGAACAGAGGAGTGCAGACATGGATCCGAGAGTTAAACCCTCGAGCTTTTTTTGTCCCATGCTGTTCTCATTCATTGAACTTGGTGGTCAGTGATGCAGCATCTGAATATTTTAATGTAATTCAAAGCATCAATGTATTTCCTGGCTCTTTGAGCTCTGGTCAAGTGAAAAATTCTCTGCATCAGCTCATCGATGGCAAATTTTGAAGCAACATATGGGAACATCCTCTCTGACACTGAAACCACTGAGTGCCACACGATGGGAAAGTCGAGTGGAGGCGATAAAGCCTATCAAACACCAAATTGGAACGATAGATGATACCATAGTTGCCATTATGGAGGATAATGCTATGACAGGAACTGTTTGTGGGAGAACAGTGGCAGAGGGAAATGGAATCACCAGAAACATACATAACTTAAAATTTCTGTGTGGCTTAGTGTTGTGGGATGACATACTGTTTGAAATAAATGTTTGTAAGCAAGAGACTCCAAGGTGTTGACCTTGATATATCTGGAGCAATGGAACAACTGGACAAAGCAAAGTCATACCTACAGTCTTACCGGTCAGATGAGGGATTTCAAAACGTTCTGAAGAGTGCACAGAAGTTGGCACACTGAAGCTATTTTCCCACCCATTCAAGAATACAAGAGTCACCGAAGAAGAAGACATTTTGATTACGAGGCACGGGTTAATCCCATAAGAGACTCCTAACAACAATTCAAAGTTGAATTCTTTAACCAAGTGCTAGATTGTGCAATACAGTCAGTTGAAGAAGGTTTCATGCAGCTCAAGGAACACAGCAGTATATTTGGGATGTTGTATGATATTCCAAAATTCCTCACTATACCTGAAAAAGCCCTACACCAGCAATGCAGGGCACTAGAGACCATGTTGACACATGATGACATGCGCAATATTGATGTGAGTGATTTAGGTGATGAACTGAAAGCCCTTTCAAGATGCATTTCAGCAAGATCAACTCCAAAGACTGTTCTGGAATATATGTGCACAAATAAGATGACCACCCTCTTTCCAAATGCTTTTGTTGCTCTGCGCATACTTCTAACACTTCCTGTAACAGTTGCCAGTGGAGAACGCAGCTTCTCCAAGCTGAAGTTAATAAAAACACATCTACACTCTGTTAGGGGGCTTATTCCTTCACCCTCTCACTTCCCTGGTCCTTCTCGCATAAACAGAGAGCAACAATACCCGAAGTCCAAAGGTGCAAACAATTTGATGTTTATTGGGGTAAACTTCCAGCAAGCATGATTCTAGTTTCCTTCCTCAGTGTCCCCCTTCCCAGCTCTGACACCACAGAGCCATCCCTTTTCCCATTCCCTGTTCCCATTCCCCCCTTACTTCCTGATTGACTGCAGACTATATAGTAAAACTTGAGTTTTGCTTAGCTATACCTTAACCAATCATTTTACTGAAATTTAACCAACCAATCCTAACATACAGTAACATGGTTATTTAATCAATTATATTCCACTACCTTAATTAGTTTACACCCAGCAAAATTAATTATACCGCAGACAGAAACAATTACAGAACCAGACAGAGACCATGCAAATAAACGTGCAAAACAATACAGAAGTGAGGATTTCACAACTACATCTATACAGAAATAAGGGTTTTACAACTACATTTATACAGACATAAGGGTTTTCCAGCTGTGTTTATTGATAAGTGAGTTCTTACCAGACAGAAAACTATCAAACTAAATTTTCTTTTACATGTTCTAGGCTTTTCCCTTTATCTGGAGGTGATAGATCGGATCATCTTCCTAACAGCCCCAGATTGCCTTATTTTAATGTGACTAGTTTTGGAATGTGAGGATGTGACCGTTCACTTCTCAGCTTATGGCTGCCTCTGCTGCTTAGCCAAAGGCCTTACTTAGCCTAAGAACAGAGCCTCAGACTGTCCCAGTATGAGAAGGCCCTTTCACAGACAGCCAGTGATTTTGATTCTTTCTTTTATACCTCTATAACTAGCTAAGTGATAAGAATACCCGTAAATTCTTAAAGTATAGGCCTTTACAGACAGGCCTGAATATCTATATCCTAACACGCTCCACAATGACACCAGAGAGGCTGGTCGGCCTTGCAACCATCTCAATAGAACATGAGCTGGCCCAGACTGTGGACGTTCAGGAAGCAGTTCAAATCTTTGCAGTCAAGAAGGCACAGAAAGCACCACTTTGAAAGATAAAAATGCCAGTGTTTACTATGCAGACAAGAAAAGTTACATTTGCTGTTCAGGCGTTTGAAAGTTAAATGTTACTTAAAATTTTTGAACAAGGCATTTTAAGTTGTTAGTTCTCCTTTATTGGGGTAGGTAGAAGAGCAGGACCATGAGAGGAGTAGAATAGGAAGAAGGCAGAATTGAGACCTTTCAAAGTTTTGGCCCAAGCAAGGAGGCATGGGGCGTCATTTGAGTTCCCCGCCTCAGGTGCCAAAATGTTATGGGCCATCCCTGGACTGAATTATGAGTCAGTGTGGCTTCCTGGGTCAATGTTGAGCAGATCTTAAAAATAGGAAGGGCTGAGTGGTAATATGGATAATGAAAATTGCAACCCATCTAACTTTTTAGTATACTGTGAAATAGAGGTTCTCTCCACTAATCAGCATAGCAATGCTGTGAAAATGTAACTGTATTTGGCTCAGCCTCAAACTTGCCAGCATTACGTAAATTGCTTCAATTGCTCCTACAATGAGGAGAAGTAAGCACCAGCCTGCAACTCATTGCAACAGGCATGCAGAAGATCTGTACTGTGATTTTTACTGGGGCGGATGAGAGCCGGGTGAGAGAATTTGGAATGCATCCCATTAAGCCCTAGAACTGGCTTCCTTTCTATGATGAGTGAGTGTTCAAGTTTGTAAAGTGTTGCGGACTGACAGTACTATATAAGCATAAACTGTCTCATTTGAAGTCATAAAACCATTTGGCTTTGAAGCAAGATTTTCTCATCCAAACTGCTTATAAGACCAAACACCTACAAGGGTGCCAACAGTTTTACTAGTGAATTACATTAGAATGCTATTTTTACATACTGTAGGTCTTTGTCCACAATAGGAAAACTTATATGTGTAGTTTTCCACCATTGCAACACTGCATGTGATAGCAAAAGTAGAATGGAACTTGTAGTAGAAGCAGGGCTCAGGCTAAACCTGACAATATGATGGTAGAAGTGCCTCTGCTTCATTGACATTTTCATCACTATTACTACCACTAGTGTAGAATTATAGGTATAAATTGTACTAGTGTAGTGCATAGGAGTTAGGCTTCAGTTTGAGTATATATTATGCATTTTATAACTTAAAAGTTCCGACTCACTCTTCTAGTCAGTCTGTACCCCCTCCACCCCCCCCAAAAAAGAAACCCAAAACATTTTGGCTCTTCATTCCTAAAATGAATTCATCCTAATTTTAACCCTAGATGACAGGGGGAAAACATTGAATGGTAGCTATCGAGTTGATTCGTGCACTGAGTTTCCAACTCTCTGCTGGCACACTGTACATTTAAATAAAACTCTTATATTTCAGGTAGGTGTGAAAGTTGGAGTCCGTACAAGGGGGTGTAATGGACTTTCATACACGTTAGACTATACAAAAACAAAAGGCGACTCCGATGAAGAAGTAGTTCAAGATGGTGAGTGTTTATTTGTTTTTATCTATTTGAAGCAGTAAAAAGGTGGCGAGGGCAGGTGCAGAATAACTTGATTACTGATCTTCCAAACTATAATGGAGTAGAGACAGGCTAGAATTTACTAGCTGCATGAAATTACTGAGAGAATACCCTAGTAAGAATTGCTGTTGCTGTCACTTTAGATTCCATTGTAAAAGTACCCACTTGTTAAAACTTCCTGGATTAAATTAAATACTGCTAGCCCAGAGGGTACAAATTGCATCCTTTTCCCGCCCCACCATATGTCCAGGCTGTACCATGGGTTGGAGTTCTCCAGGGCCTGGGAGGCTATGTTTACATCTGGTGGTGGGGTGGCAGCTTTAAGTTAATGCTTGAGTATCATAGGATCCTCCTTGTGCAGGTTGCTTGGTGGAGCACATCCTCCAGCAGACTTTGTCACAAGCACTTCTTTGTCAGCACAGCCTACTTCTTTTGGCTAACCTTGCTGGCTCCAGGCCCCTGGGGTTGCTGCATCCCTGAGTTACATTGATATACACTGGCACAGAATATACTCAGATGAAACAAAGGACCTTCCAAAAACACTGCTTTTATATAAACTAATGGATTCCCTTCTTGGGTTCATCATTATTGGTATTTTTTCATCTACAAAGCCAAATTGGCTTATTAAAATGAGAAATCATAAATAGTCTATAAATCAAAACTGCAGTCTTAATGTTCAGCATCCTGCAGCCTGTAAAACTTCTGTATGTTAGCTGGAAATCCTGCCTGTTCCAATATTAAGACTTGAGAAGCACTAATTCCTAGCCCTGATCGTTTTACTTTATAGTATATTGGATGGACCTTACACCTCTCCCTAGTACAGAACTAAATATTGCTAGTAACTCAGCTTCACCCATATAACTTTGGCAAGGGGAAGGATAATCCATTTGAGAAGGAAATAAAATATTTTTGAGGCAGGTTTTCTTTAAAAAGTCAGCTGCTTGAAAGCAGTGCAGAGCTTTGGAATGTTAGTAATCCCAGTAGAAATGGATTAATGAACATAATTCATAGACACCAAGGTCAGAAGGGTTCATTGTGATCATCTAGTCTGACCTCCTGTATAACACAGGCTATAGAACTTCCCCAAAATAATTCTTACATCATATGTCTTTAAAAAAAAAATCCAATTGTCAGTGATGGTGAATCCACCATGGCCCTTTAAGTTCTTCCAAGGGTTAATTACTCTCACTATTAAAAATGTACATCTTATTCCAGTCTGTGGGAGTGTCAAAGCTGCACTTTATCACACAGTTACACAATTACATTGGCTTGACCCCTCATGAAGTGTAAATAAATACACCATAATATCAATACTCAACCATTTACAGATAGCAAGTGATAGTAATCTCAACTGGAGTTCTTTAACAGAGGCAAGTAAATGATGAATATCCTGAAAATAATAAGAAAATGCAGCACATTTCACTGACAGACCTCAGTTTTTAGCTTCGTTTTATATCAGTTATCTACCAGATTGTACTGTAACACAAGACCTGTGTCAGATTACATAACAGTTGTTTTTTTTTGTGTCCCATTCAAGGAGTCAGAGTGTTTATTGAAAAGAAAGCACAGCTGACACTTCTAGGAACTGAAATGGACTATGTAGAAGACAAACTATCCAGTGAATTTGTTTTCAATAACCCAAACATCAAAGGAACATGTGGCTGTGGAGAAAGCTTTAACATTTGAAATCTCAGGACTATTATCTTGGCTTATAACACCATGAAACACTTCTTCATCTGTGTGACTTTCTAAAGCTGTCACATTTTTCAGGTTTTTAGGCTTTGTAACGTGTGGCTGCATTTTAAGGAAAATAAAGCGAATGCATTTTGGAAATGTAACCTGTGTGTTAAATTTCAGCACTGGTGTATTTATGCAGTAATTTGGGGTGAATTGGGCTCTAGACAGTAAGAACAGCGAGGTGCAGTAGCACTTCTGTGTTTTCATATGTGATGGGAAATAAATCTCAATATTTCTCCTTTTCTTGTCATTTCCCTCTCCTTCACCGCTACCAGTCGCCCAAAAATTGTGTGGTGTAAGAACAGACTCCATGTGCATTCTGCTTTAATTAGAAGAAAATGGTAGGACTGTATATGTATGAATAGGTTTCAGAATTAACTTATACTCATTTAAAAAGAACACACACACAAAAGAAGGTATGTATCTGACAGACGTTTCCAATGTCTTCACCCCTTGATGCTTTGATTATGGATTTAGTGGTGATCTGTTTGCAAAGAAAAATCAATAAGTTCTAAGAGGGAGGAAATCCTACTTTCTAGTGCGAAAATTTTCATACGTTATGTCACCAACTGTGGCTACATCGTGGAATGAGCTAATTCAAGTCTCCAAAGTTATGCTCACCCTTTCATTTTGAGTTATTTTAGTGCCTATATAAATGTTTGTGCTTGCTACAAGGAAAGGAAATCTCTTTGTTGCAGCCAGGAAGACAAGTAGTGTGGTGTTCCAGAATAATGCAACATCTTCAACCATTTGAATGTTAAGGCAGAATGTGCACAGGCCTCCTTTTCCCACATCCCATGTATCTGTCTTTTCCCCCAGTTGACCAAGACAGCAAAATTCCTAAACTGCTTCCAACCCAGTACATGTATGTATTCCCCCTATGCTGTCTGGTCACCCAACAAGGAAATTGTTTTATGATGGTGGAAGGAATTTTGTCACTTTCCTGTCGTCATACTCACAACTTACTTTCTGTCATAGCTGAAACCTCATTGGTAACTTGAGTAGATGTTAGGTTTTCCCTGATAAGGTTGACTCTAAATTCTGTTCAACAGTTGTTTGAGGTGAAGGTAACTTTGTAAAAGGAAAATTCCACTGTAGTTTATAAAAACAGCTCAGAATCTTTGACTTGTATAAAATCAATGACATTAGCTTTTTTGTTAAACTGACACCAGGCATTAATTTAAGGGAAGACAAAAACTTATTGCTTGGAAGAAGCCATTTGCTTTGATAGAAAGAAACTAGTTTTATCTCCCTCTCGCACATTAAGATCCTTCTGGCTACACACCAATCTTCCCAACATGTATCATTCTTCAGCACCTCCTCCCCAACTACTCAGGTATCAGTAAATATCTCTCCAGGCTTTCTGGAAAGCCAGAGTAATTTAAGTGGCCACTATGCACCAAGCCACTCACTTGTGCAGCTTGCAGGAGGAGTAGAGAGGGGAAGAAGCTATTGTTACTAGAGTAGTTGAGCTGAAAGTTGGGGGGGGGGGGGAAGAGGAGACAGGTGGAAGGGAGCTCACAAGGAATACCTGAATGCTGGCTTTAAATAAGGAAGGAGCTGGAGTGGGGGAAGGAGATGGGACTGAATAAGGCATAAAACCTGGAGATTTACTATCCAGGGGTGGATTCATTCTGGAGAGCAGTTTATTGGTACTTGAGAGGGAGAACTGTGGACTGTTACCTGTTGAGGGACTGGAAATGCAGCTAGAACTGGTTGAGGGAGGAGGAGATAAATCTATGGCATCCTCCCTGCAGTAGTCAGCACAGCCCACAAGAATAGAAGGTTGAAGCTTCCACGTGTATTGCTTAATTAATATTCATACTTGAATTTTAATTATTTTGTAATGTATGCAATTTTGATGTAAAAACACTGGAGTTTTCCTTTATCAACTGTCATACACAAATAGTTGCATTATTATATATAGTAGTTATAGAACAGTAACAAAGTATATGGGGAAAACATGACAACCGGCTCAGTAGATTTGAATTTCTAATGCCACAGTCCTCCATTCCTGCCAAAAAAAATCAAGTCTGTGTGGCATTGTAGAGCTAATGTCTAAAGTAGTCCCAATGATAGACTAATTCTCTCATTTGTAAATCTATTCCTTACTGGAAATTAAAAAAAAAAAAAAAAAAAAAAAAA